CACGGATTCTTCGACACCGCTGCATCGAAAATAAAGTTGCTCATACGACATGTTGGCTTCGAAAAGTTTCTTCTATTTTGTCAAATGAAGTTGTAAAAAACATTACGTTGTGTGCAACTATTTTCGCTATTAGTGTATGTGCTCCGAAATAAATCTTCTCTGTCCTAAGTAAACAAACATCTATTAATATTTCATTTTGTATGCACAGCTATATGTAACATATGTACATATATAGTCCAACACGACATTGTTTTCGCTTTCGAGTAGAAAAATAAAATAAAATTTATTTATTTTCTTTCTAGATGTAGCCAACGTTCCATAACTAGATACAGAAGTAGCTGATAAATATGTTATATTTTGCTAACACACTTGCTGTTTCCGTAAATGGCTACTATCTCACCTAAACTAAACATATACATTTTTGGATAAGTCTCCTTTCGCCTTCAGGCGTAAAATGTTCCGATGACCACATTCAACCAAAATAAAAGTAATAACAGCAATAACAACAATGACAACCGCAAATACAAACACACAGTTTTGATATATAAATACAAACATATATATATTTATATATATATATATATGAACATCATATTTTCTACACCCTTGTATGTATTTTTAGACAAATGAATTCATTCATAAACTATTCAAAATTATTATTTGATGAAGTTCTATTTTTTCTTATTAACCTTTTATTTTCATTTAAAAATAAACTTCTTTAAAATTGTTTTTTTTTTGTTATTTAATGGAAGCCAATAAAAAATATATGAAAATATATATATGTGAAGTATGTACATACACATATGTATGCGTAGGTAATATAGAGTTTAGATTTTATTTTTTAATGATATTTTCTACGAAGAAAATATTGCCGTATATTTAAGGAGGTTTAAATTTGTGTGGAAAAATGATGAAATTTCGATTAATTTCAATTTTTGATTTAATTTTAATTTTTATTTTAATTTTTGAATATAATTTTCATTTTAATTTTGAGTTTAATTTTCATTAAAGTTATAATTAAAATTTTCACTTTAATATTTGTTTTAATTTTCATTAGAATTCCAATTTTAATTTTAATTTTAATTTTAATTTTAATTTTAATTTTAATTTTAATTTTAATTTTAATTTTAATTTTAATTTTAATTTTAATTTTAATTTTAATTTTAATTTTAATTTTAATTTTAATTTTAATTTTAATTTTAATTTTAATTTTAATTTTAATTTTAATTTTAATTTTAATTTTAATTTTAATTTTAATTTTAATTTTAATTTTAATTTTAATTTTAATTTTAATTTTAATTTTAATTTTAATTTTAATTTTAATTTTAATTTTAATTTTAATTTTAATTTTAATTTTAATTTTAATTTTAATTTTAATTTTAATTTTAATTTTAATTTTAATTTTAATTTTAATTTTAATTTTAATTTTAATTTTAATTTTAATTTTAGTTTTAATTTTAATTTTAATTTTAATTTTAATTTTTATTTTAATTTTAATTTTAATTTTAATTTTAATTTTAATTTTAATTTTAATTTTAGTTTTAATTTTAATTTTAATTTTAATTTTAATTTTAATTTTAATCTATTTTTAAATTTAAATTTTAATTTTTATTTAAATTTAAATTTAAATTTAAATATTAATTTTAGTTTTAATTTTTATTTTAATCTTAAATTTAAATTTAAAATTAAATTTAAATTTTAATTTTGATTTTTATTTTTAGTATAAAAGTGCTAGAATTTAAATTGAAATATATATTTTTGTAGGTATTTTACTAATCAGTTTCATTAAACTTCGAGGACTGACTTTTTTACACGTAAAATGAAAAATTATGAACGACATAAGCTCATGAGTGGTGAATAGCATTCATTGAAATTCCCTCATTGTATATTATTACTAAAATCTACTGAAATATTCGCATGCGAGTGTAGCTTAAGCGTTCAAGTGTGTTACACAAAATTAGTTTGGATCACTTCAAGTATAGCTGCTTTCTTTCCGTAGCTTCTGTGCTTCCGTTCCAACATTCATGCTCCTTAACACCTGTCACTGTCAGTTAAATTAATTGAAATGAGTTCAAGTCAAAGACTGATTTATTAAGTAGACACACATGGTTAATCCCACACATCCGAGCTCATACGTGATATACACGAGTATATACACTTGGTATTGTGTTTAAAGGTGAAATAAGTATTTGCATTATTAAATGGCACAGTATATGCATATCCATTGTCTACGGATACTTAATTAGTGACAACAAAGGTAACAAATAATGAATAAATAAATAGAATACTCAAGAAAATATTTAAGTGTACAATAATAGATGTCACAAGATGAGAGCTGAGAAAAAATTTAATTAAAATGCAGAAAATATATAATAATAATTGAAATTAAATAACAAAAATTGCTTTCATATGATATACATATATATTAGCATGTAATTTTTTTACACATGAACTAATCTACCAACGTAGCAAATTTGTAAAGTTAACAAAGCTCACGATTAGACACACGTGAGTGTTGAGTTTAAGCACTGAAATGCATGTAAAAGTTTTCAATTTGTTGTTGTTGAGTTGAGAACGGGCCAGAGACGAAACAATCAGAGAAGATTAAAGTAAATCAAAAATTTGTAGCCAGAACGTGGTAAATGTGTACATACATATATCTATATATAATAAGTATGTGTATTTGGTGGTGAGCAGGTAGTGGTTTACCCTTGAGAAAGACTTTATTTTATTAACAGTTGTTGCCAGAACATCAAAGTCTTTGGCATTTCTCTTTTGCTTACTTTTGCACATAAAGGAAATAAAACCAAAATTGAGTGTTGCGAACTTTAGCTTACCGACTAATGGTGCTTATATAAGGACTTATGATGTAAAACAACTAACTGACACATACATACATATATGCAGGTACATACATACATATGCCAAGCACGTGTATTTTGCACGTGCTGAAGAAAATGAGAAAGATATAAGTACGCTTCGAAGCAAAATTTAAAGCACATTTAGGGTCAATGTAAGCTAAAGCTTTGAGATGAGGGTTAATAGAATGAAATGCGAAATTTAATTAGGAAAAAAATATAAATAAAAAATAGTAAAATAATAATCATAAAAATTTTGTTAATTTATATGAAATTAATTGATTGCAATTTAATTAAATATTTTTATATTATCGGTCCTCGGGTGTCGAATAACATATAAAGGTGTTGTTGCTAAGTACATGCGGTATAAAGGTTACCGTGCTTTTTTCCAAAAATTGAACTTTTTCCAGCCTTTGAAAAAAATAAAATTTTCCAAACCTGTATTTCTTAGTTTATATAGAAGAGACACTCATAAAACTTAAGAAAAAAATTGGTTCTACTTTTTCAGTTGCATAACTGGCACCCTTTAATGAGTCAGACCGCAGCCGCTTCCGAAAATTCATCCCAAAATGGAAAAATTCTAAAATTTTCTGATACAAAAAATTGTTTTTTGAAGCTTAAATATGGAAAATTAATGTCTGAAAATTTCGTTTACCGCAATTATTTCCTGGTCTTACAAAAAACAAAAAAATGCTGATGAAATGCTTTTTTCGAGTTCTAAAAGAGATTACTGCCTTAAATGAGCAGGAACCAAAGGTTGCCACATCAAATGGCAGGCCAACTTAAAAAATCTTCAACTAACTAGAGTGTATTTATAACAGGAATATATGAACTCACTGAGCCGTTCGTAGGAAACCTGATACTGTAGGTGCCTTCATTTGTATGTTAAACCCTAAACGTTTATAAAGCGCATCACAATATTTTATACATTCTCTACCTAAAAACAAACCGACATATATACATATGCACACAATTCGAAAATAATACAATAATTCAGTCTTTCCCTACTTTCCAACTTCTTATGTCTCATCTGTTCTCTATTAGTCTCGTAGCTTTGAGACAGAGTTGATACTTCCCTTCATTACTAATTCTACCTTTCAAGTTTTATCCACTCACCGTATGTTCACCGGTTTTACACCGCTGTTTAGCTTAGAGTTATTATTTCCGAATCTATAGTGATACAGACACTACCATTTAGTGATGCAACCTTAGTGCCGCTATTAGTTTAGACTCCTTTGTTGGATAAATTAAGGTACAGACGGTGCGCGACCTCACTAGCTAAGTGGTTAGCACTGCATAATGTCATTTGGTAGGTTCGAGTCCTAGATCGGCTAACATAACAAATTAATTTTTTTTTGCTATCGCCAATCGGTAAGGAATGGGCAAGCCTTACGAGTGTATTTCTGATATGAAAAGAAATGCTCCTCATAAAAACCTATCGGCCGTTCGAAGGCCGCCTAGAATATATTCAGGTTCAATATTTGTGGGAAAAATATCAAGATACATACCACAAATCATACAAAGGGATCGTTCAGCCGTCATAGGGCGCCAATTACACATTAATGCTTAGGTAACTGGATTAGCTTTCGACCAGAGACGACAGCAAACGAGGTTTTCCCTACTCAAACATAAATACCACGCCGGTTTAACTACTTTGATTTTTTGTGTGGTGAACCGTTTTTGTAAATCCCCATTGTCAATCAGCAAAATATTTTTAAAAACTTGCCTCGGCAAAGGAGTACAACGGGGAGTGGAGCTAAGAAAAAATGTGCATAAGAGTTATTTTGATAGATGACGGAGGTGATGAGATGACTCAGCAAAACTCACATTACAGCGCTCATAATATAAATTATATAGAAATTCATATAAATCATTAACAAATTAAGCAATGCAATGTTTTTGTAATTTTTATTTTGCTGATTCGCTACACTTTTTCATCATTAAGTATGATTTTCGTAAATGTGATATTTCCTAACGCATAATTCTTTTATTGCTGTATAATCACTTTGAAGTGCTAAAATCGTGTATTTAATACTTTTACGACATTTATTCCATATTTATTTTATTCGTTGTTGATTTTTCGTACATACATACACATACGTACGTATTCACCACTCCTTATTTTGATTTAACTTCATGTAGCTGATAAAACTCAAAGTCGCATTTGGTACACGGTAATAACATTAATCAAACGCTCATAAAAATAGCTTTTATGATACGAAAAAAAAGTTTTCAAAGTGCCAAAAGGAAAGAAGACAAAGATATACATAAGTGTAATAGCTCTGAAACAACAACTGTAATAACCAAAATAAAAGAAACAAAGAAAAAGCAAAAATAAAATAAAAGCTACAACTCCAGCGTTGAAATCACACGGAAAGATTTGGTTTATAGCATACATAGATACATACAACGGTACATTCCCATCTATATGTACTTGAAAGTGTAGACTCTACATTTGGCTTTATTGATGAGAAAGTCAGCAGCAGGTATGTATTGTAACATATTATATATAGCGTTTTTTAAATGCTTTATTTACTATATGCTTACTATTGTATTACAAGTATATGCATGGATTGGGAAATTTGAGAATATTAAGCATTTGCAATTATTTCTAGTTTAAGAAAGTGTATAATCGTAGATTATAGTATTTCATCGGTTTGCATTCTTTGTCAAGCATATGCTAATAAGATGTGGGAAAGGCAGCAATCTAAATGCAATACTATTGAAATTGATAGCTACAATATTTTATGGTTAACCATTTTGCGGTTTCGTAAACAAACGTAAAACAAATGCATTTAAAATAATTCTTTTCAGGAAATTTCTTTGTTTATTGTAAAGTTTAAAGCTTAGAATTATATGTGAAATACATCATCATTCCAACGAGCGCCTCGCGAATTTTTCGCTTCGATCTGTTTAAGCTAATTTTCAAGCATTTTTCTCAGGAGTAACTTGAATAAAATCCCATGCTCTTGGCGTGCCAATAACCATCACCAAGATGAGAGATTACGCGGCCTTGCAATTTCTCTAGCAATAAAGCCATATTTACTTGTGTTGTGTGGCACGTGGAACCATATTGTTGAAACCAAATCTTGTCCAAGTCGTGCTCTACAACTGCATACTAAAAAAAGTTGACTATCATGCGACCATTACGCTTCGCATAGACAGTAACAGTCTCGCTGCTATCGTTTTTAAAGTAATAAGGACGTATGATAAGCCTCCGTACCAGAGCCCACTAGACAGCTTCTCCTATTCAATTATTTGAAGATTTTCGGAGTCCCAAGCGCGACAATTTTTGTTATTTTTGGGAGAAGGAAATTTGGTTTGAAAAATCGACACTCACTGCTTGTAGTTCAAGCCTCCAATTGACGCATGTACGGTCAGGCGAAAGGTCAGCTGGCAAATAAATAAAATAAATATTAATGTAGAAATTAGTGCAAAATCAAAAGACGCCCTAATATGTCATAAGTAAGTACCCGCTCTTAAGAATGACAAGAAAAAGACACTTTTGGGTCTTCAGCTACACATTTACTGTGGCGATATTTGCGTTGGAACGAGAAAAACGAAGTGCAGGCCTTAAACTAACTGTAACCGATCCAGTTTTTTTAAATTTATTTACAGTTTTATCAATTGCTTGAGTAGTTGGACGATTATGAGCAACAGAATTTCCTCTTAAAGAACTAAACGAGGCCACGTTTGAAGCATCATTTTTGTGGTTTTAGCAAATTTTGGCGAATTATTCGGTTGTTAAGCGATCCATTTTCAGAAATGCCTGACATTTAACTAAAATAAATAATGTTCGGCTTGACAGTTAAACTTGACAGACGTGAAAATATATCGCTGTACTTTTTAAACCATGAAATGGACAACTCAATATACATATTCCTTTGGCTTAGTTCATTATTGCGAAATTGAAAAATAAATCATTAAGTGAGCATGACTGATAACTTTTCTGTCATAGACATCAATTCCATATTGTAAAAAGTTTGCTAAAAAATAATGTAAATCTGAATTTTTAATTGACTAAAAGGATGCTTCACAATTTAACAATTCTTTCGATTTTCTGGTTAGGTAAATGTTGCTCATACGACATGGCTAACTTTTTTTTATTTACTAGTGAAGAATTCTTAAATTTAAATCAAAGAAAAAAACAATTTATGGGCTGAATACGCTTTAGATTAATATTCAATAGTTTGAAAAACATACTTTCATTAGATCTACAAAATCTTTTTTAGTTTTTTCTTGCAATTAATTCACTTGATATTGGAGGGTATTGAAGGGTACGAAATTACTAAAATTGCTAATTTAACGGGTCAAAAAATATGTCCGTTGATTGGTGACGTCCGGTGTAAAAGTCAATTTAATTTTTTTTGCTTTGGTGTTTTGTTTGTATTATACAAAATATAGAATATACTTTGAAGTTGGTCTCATACACATTTGGAAAAAATTTAATTTTTTAATTTTATTTTTGAGTCACTGATTTTAAAACGTTTTACTTTCCGTATCTGATCATGATAATTTTTATAATGAATGGGATATATATATTTATATTTAAAATTGACGCATTGTAATCGATGAAGCGATTTCCGGCCGAGCCCCTCATCCAATTTTCAAAAATGTTTCTCCATCGAATTGAGGGACTTATAGTTTATACTTAGCCGCCTCCGAACGGCTGATGGTTTTTATGAGGAGCTTTATTTCATGTCGGAAATACACTCCGAGGTGTTGATATTCCCTGTTGGTCGCACCCGAATTCGATCCCTGGCCTTCCGAATGACAGTACGCATGCTAACCACTCGTCTACCGCGGTCGCGGGATATAATTCTCATATAAATTTGAATAAAAAAGTATTTTATTGAGGGTGGGAAAGTAGATTCTGAGTTGTGTGATGCAAAAATTAAAAATACAAAATAAAGCGTTTAAAATAAAAAGGATTATAGCAAAAAATATAAAAATAAAATAAAATAAAAATAAAATAAAAATAAAATAAAAATAAAATAAAAATAAAATAAAAATAATATAAAAAATAAAATCACAAAAACAGAATTTGTTGTATTGCATTTTAGGATTAAATATTAAAACTCATGCATGCACCAAGCACCTGGAATGTTCATTTCCTTAATTTTGAAGATGCGGCTGCCGAGTTAGTTGCTGTTCTCTAATGACATTCCCCATAGTGGTCATATAAAGGAGTAAAAATTAAATGCCGGATTCGTTGTGAGAGGGAAATTGCGTCGCCAAGTACTGCATAGCAATCCAGTGAATGAGCATCTCCCACAATCCACATCAAAACGATGTCGCTGATTTGCACGCAAATCCCGATTGGAGAGAAGGATAATGTGACCAAAGATATATTTTATAAGTGCCTGGAGCATACTCATGAGCGCTTTTTATACTTTCTCGTTTGTCTCTTTTTTGGCATTATATGAAACGCAACAAAAATTATCTCCTTTTGTATATTTGCTATTTTTCATATTGAAATTTTCAGTAATTTTGTTCACTCAAAATTGTTAAAAAAAGCATTTTTGTAAATTTGAGGCAACGGGTAACTTGGTTTTGCATGTTTTTCTCTCAACTTTGCTGAATATAACTAAACACTACTACTTACGGTTAACCGAGATATAGACGTGTGGGGATAGCGGAAATGTGCTAGAAATCCACTTTGAGTCAATGAATGTATGAAGTCATCAAATCCGATACATTCACTGGCATAAAACTGCCAGAAACGATGACCTGAAAAAACATTTCTTTTTTAATTCCTCATTTGATATTCGATCAAATTAAACATTCAGTAATATTTTATTTAATTGGAGTAAATTAAAAGCTCATGAATGGTTGAATTCATGCAATAAAATAGTAAAGTGTATAAGATGCTCACAAACTTCTTGCCATAAATAAATATTTTATTTTAAAATTGCAAAAATTTGAAGCTACAGCCAATTAAAAATGATACTTCTTTCAACATTTATTGATTGCTGTAGGTGAATTTTTATACGTACATATAGGGCTATATTTATACATTATTTACATATAAGTGTATATATTGAAGCGCACACATTGGTAAAAAAATATACATATATATATGTGTATATGTATACCAGTGATTATTATTATGTGTGGTCGAGTGATCACTCTAGCTCGAGCTTTTGACTGACATGTGTATATATGCACGAGTACACGCAGGGTTTTCCAATAAGAGGTGTTATTTGGATATTTAAAGCAAAATGACATTTTTAGAGACAAATGATCGGTTGGTTATTTCAATGTGAAGAGGAAGTTAGGCCATTTATAAGGGAAATAAAAATCAGCAAAATATACACCACGGCTACGCTTTCAGGAGTGCATCCATTTTATAAAGTTTTCCATCATCGAATTGCAAAGTGGGTGCTGCATGCCCTCAATAGCTTCACGAATACCATCTTTGAGATTTTGAACCGACTTTGGCTTGGTGGCGTAGACCTTAACCTTCACGTGGCATCAAAGGAAGAAGTCGCAGGATGTTAAATCACAAAATATAATACGGTTCGGAAACTTTTCCCTTAAAATATCGATGGTATAGCCGTTTTGTTGAAAATAAACGTTTTCTTGATCAATACCATTTAATTCCAGTCATAAATAATCATTAATCATCTCTCGATAGCGCAATCCATTCACCGTAAATGTAGCTCGTTTTCGGAAAAGTAAGGTCGAATGACGCCGCCAGACCATAAACTGTACAAAAGACTTTCTAATAATAAATCTTGGGTTTTCCTAGCTCCAGATGCGACAGTTTTGCTTATTGACGTAGCCATCGAGGTGGAAATGGGCCCCATTAGTCAATGAGATTTTTCGATGAAATTCTGAATCTTTTTCATACATTTCAAGGACCAAGGGTCAGCAAAGACACGACGTTGTTGATGATCTACAGGTTTGAGTTCTTGGGATGAATGAACTTTATGAGCCTTAAGGCTCAAGTAATGAAGTTTGTGGAATGCGCAATTCCAAAAATTGACGATGAAGGGACAAACAAACAACGATTTGGTATAAAGTTGCAATATTCTCAGTTATTCTTGAGTGACGTGCACATGTTTTATTCTTCACATCACTAACTCCAGTTATATAACTGCCAATAGCTCCAGTTTTTCAACTAATCTCTGTATTGTGGTCCGCCAAGTTGCTTCACGATGACCGAAAACTCTCTTTTTACAAATCGTCTCTGTCTGGTTTTCATCATTTTCTTAGTGAATTTTCATAATTTCAAAGCGTTTGTTGAAACGTGTTTCCTTTCATTTTTATTACTGACGTAGTTTTTACTTGTAAAATGTCCAAAAAATACAGCCTCAAAAGTAACATCTACCGGAATAACAGGCTTTTCAAAATAATATATCTTATTGGAAAACCCTTTATAGTGATTTGTAGAGTATGCATACATATTGTACATACTTGTACGTTTGCCTGCTCGGTATGCCCCTGTTCACTCAAACGGGAAGGTACATAAACTCTGTGTTGT